TATATAAAGATAGATAGATAGATAGATAGATAGATAGATAGATAGATAGATAGACAGATAGATATAATGAATTTGGGGCTTTGTTATACTTGTGGCTATTGCCTTTAATACCTGTCCACAATTAAAGTAGATACTCTATACTCTGCTATCGAGAGCGAGATGAGTTAGAACCCCGATGATGTGGCAAAAAATATTTTGTTTTTGCAGTAGCACAGAAAGCTTTAAATACAAATAGCGTGCCGTGCCTGCCCCATCCCTGGGGTGTGCTGAGACAGTGTTGACACTGAGTGTGCTGGTGCACATCTGTGATCCCAGCGCTTGGGAGGCTGAAAGCAGGAGGATCACTATGAGTATGATCTGTGTAGTGAGACCCTGTAGACCCTGTACTAAATGCATTAAAGAAATAACTAAATAAATAATAAATAAACAGAAATAAAACACAAGAAAAAGAGCGGTACATGCCCAGGATCATGTATGTGGATAGTAAGGAGTGGCCTCTCTCAGTGCCTTTGTGGATACTTCCACAGTTACTTCTTCCACTGTTCTGCAGAACTCCATCTATTGTCCCAACTCTCTGATAGATATTAAATCATATGACTTCACTTCCAGTAGCTGTATCATTGTAGCAAAGAGATAGAATCAGTTTTTCCGCTCAATAGTAGAAGATAATGTGGGAAAGATTTGTATCCGTTTGAATTTGGAGATGTCTTATAATGATGGAAATAATTATATAAACCTCAATTATTATAGTTTTTTAAATGATCAGAGATTGAAGTAGTGTGAAAAATCTATGCAAATTATGACTAAGGCCTGGGACAAGCTCTGCAAAATATTCAGAGGAAAGATGGAGGCAACTTACAAAATATAATACGAGGATGTGCAAACTTTACCCTTTCCCACAAATATGTTACAGTCACACGATCTATCATGGATTAGCACTTGGCATAGGTCAGGCTTCACCTGAACTCTTCGCATGGATTAATATAAACAGCAATCTTTATACTGGATCCTACTCTTACTTCACTTGAAGTGTATCCGTAGGCTGCTTTAGACTCCAAATGTCTTCTTTGCATCTTTTAAACATCTCATGATGGGCCAGGCATGAAGCTCAATGCTGAAGCACCTGTCTGCCAAGCACACAGTCCAGAGTTTGATTTCTAGTACCAATAATAAAAATAATAATAATAATGATAATGATAATAGTAATGTCTCCTGATTGCCCTCACCTAGATAGATGATGGAGACCCTGAGTTCAATCCCCAGCACTGCAGAATAAGTAACTAGAATTAGTTAATATATTGTTTTTGTTTTTGTTGTTGTTGTTGTTGCGGTACCAGGGATTGAACTCAGGACCTTGTGCTTGCCAGACAAGTGCTTATTCTACTGAGCTATTTCCCCAGCCCTAGTAATATACTATAAAAGATAGTAGCAGCTAATACTAAGAACTGCATAGTGTCATAGTAACTATAACAACCTAGGACTTGTAAACAATTAATGATTTCATGTAAGGAATATACTAGATACACACAATATATCATATAACCTACATATATGTGCAATTTGTGACTATCATGTTGTCCATATTATTATAAAATGTAACTTATGTGGAACAGACTGAAAGTATAGGTTCATAAAAATGTATACAATTGAAAAACTTGTATATTCTCTATTCACAAGAGGAGAAAAGCTACAGTTATACATCTATGTCCAGCAACAGACCTCTGTCCTGGTTGCAAGGGGAATCTATTCTGAAAATACCACAAAATTCCTACGTTTGTTGAACAGCTAAAATCACTTACTATTAGTCAGATTTCAAGCTCTAGACGGTCATTTACAAGATAAGGCAGAATTCTGTCTTCTCATAAGGGAATCTGGAGACGAACAGATTCCTCCCACGTTGCTCTGCCTCTGCCACAAGGTGACTGTGTGCATCTGTAGAGTGCATAAATTTTGAAATGAAGTAAAGGGAAGTTCAGGCATTATTTTCTTTTAGGTTCTGTTGCACAGATCAGTGTCATGTCCAAACTTAGCTGGAAGCTTGATTCTCTAGTCTCCAGCTGATGCTCAGAAAAATCATTCAATTACTGTGAAAGGAGAAAAGAATGAATTTTTCGGAAGGGGCTGCTAGCAGGTGCATTCCTACAGTTGATTTCTTCACATTTGGCCATCCCAGGGACTCAGCATGACATAGGTGATTTCCACTCATAAAAAGCTATTACCTAGCTGCTTTTTGTTGCAATGGAAAATCAAATCAGCTACTAAATACTCTGATTGGCTGATAACTTTCACATACCAAGTTTCTCAATGATATGCTCCAAGTACAGTAAATTCCTGACTTAGGAGCAAGTTCTGTTCTGGGAGAACTGTTCAGAATTTGGATTCCTTTGTAAGATAACAAAGTGAGACCTATGCAGTACACCTGTGAACGCAGCGACCGGACCATTCCCAAGTTGGGGATTTGCCATAGGGCCCATGCTTCTTATGGGTAAGGACCATAGTTGAATTGTGTGATGTCATCCATCACACTCAGAAACACTTAGGTAAACAAGGAATTCTTGTTCTGGATTAAATGGGGAAGGAATTTACCATTGCACGTTGCTCACCCGTTCTTCCTACATCTTCTCGTTTCTAGTTTGATCACTCATGGCTTTGGGACTCCAGCAATATGTGCAGCTCTAAGCACTTTCCAGACAGTCCTCAGTGAGATGCTGAACTACTTGGAAAAACACACTACGCACAAAAACGGTGGAGCGGCAGATTCCGGCCAAGGACATGCCAACCCAGAGAAAGCCCCCCTGCGGAAAACTTCAGAGGTTGCCGTGAAAGAGGGAAAAACAGAAAAGACAGACTAGCTACATCAAACAGAATCTATTTCCAGAGTCTTGCTGCTGATATTTTTTCTAATATATATATCATTGAGGGTGACTGCTCTTCAGTGGACCAAATCTCTGCCCTCCCCCAAACCTACATTTAGAAAAAAAAAATGGAAATGAAACATAAAACAAAAAAGGACAAATTCAAAAAAAAAAAAAGAAAAAAAGAAAAATGGCAGTGTAATTGTGTGAGGAAATTGTCACTTTTTAATTTTATGTTATGATAAACTCCTTTTGTGCACGTAGTTTATTGTTCCTAATGATATACAACACTTTTTAAGCACTTCCGGACTTTGGAGAGGCGACACCTGCTTTTTCACATTTACTGATGCACTTTCTTATCCAGCTCTGTAGTTAGGGATTAGAAAGCATGACCAGCGGGAATCCACCACCTCCCTCACAGTGCCAGGATTTCTCGACTTAGCTCCCTGTAACTCGAGAGTGCCTCTTTCCATCGTATAGATCAATATGAAAATTAATCCATGAATAAATAGTAGGGAACTGAAAAGTGAGAGCAGTCATTAATATCTGTCCTATGAAGTGGCAGCAGTTCTAAAAGCTTCGGTTACCTCTAGCACACTTAATTACCAGTGCCTTGGTGGTATTTTAAAATTCCAGAAAACTCTCTTTCTGCATACAATGGGATCAACCCCCAGTGGGTTGATTTATCCACTGGATAGACAAGTAGATACTCAGAAAGTAGACCCTGTATGAGTGCAAGATGATCTCTTCTATCCATCCTCACCAATGTAACAATTTACAGACTACACTGAATGGGTGTGGTGGTTTTGCTACTGTTGGACTCTTGATGGGAAACAACATATTGTTTTCCCTGAAAATGTAGGGGACTGGAGCAATGATCTTTCTGGAAAGTTCTGCCTCTCAGAGTAGGAGATGAGACCAGGGAACTAGTGGAGGCCCCTTTGAAGCACTGTGGCTGATTGTGAGGTTAAAGCAAGAGCCATTCCTTTGGTACCTTTATGCTTGTCTACCTGCCCAGTAGCTGTGTTCTAAACCTTTAGAGGCACAAAAGCATTCAGGTCTGTGTTCAATAAAGAAAACAAAAGAGATTGATCAGAGAAGACTTTTGCTTTTAAGATGCTTCCTTTCTTCATAGCTTGTTCTTATAGCTTCTCTCTTTAGTTAAGGCACTGGCAGCAAGAGGCTCTTGGTTCAACGGCCGGGAGCTAATTGAATGAAAGTTTGGCCCATAGAAATCTGTCTGTGTCAGGAAACCTGGCTGGTATCACATTGTACTAACTTTTCTACTATTCGCGATTTTCAAACTTTTATGTAGGCAAATAAAAATATAGGTCAAAGTCTATGTCTTAAAAATCATTTTAATAATGTGTGGACTCCCAACACTTGATTTAGCATGAAAATATTATCTTCTCATTAACATATTTTAATTACTTTTAAAAACTTAACTATATATAACCCCATGAAGAACATTGGATATTTATTTTGCAGGACATAGCGTAAACATTTGCATGTATAGACCACAAAAAATATTTTTGCCAAACAATAATTTGGAAAATCATTTGGCCTTTTAGATTTAATCTCATACAGAAAAGAAAAACCATAAGAGATGAAAATCTAAATTTTCCAGATTAAATCAATTAATGGAAGACACAACTAAAGAATTCCAAATAAAGTAATTTTACAGTAATGCAGTAGAAGCACTTAAAGTAATGCATTGTGGTTTCACATGCTTAGTTCCATTTTCTAAAATTTTACCATTTCTATGGATTTAAAATTTTTTGAAATAATGCTGAGATTCTGTTGAAGTTCCAAAGTCCACCACAAAATAAATGATTCTCGCATTCAATTTCCTATATTGTAGAATATACACGAAACAAAAGGATAAATATTCGCTTTTAAACAGTAGGAGGAGGTGACGTACATATAACGGGGACTGAATTTTCCTTAAGGAAATCTCCACTCTAATGTTCTTTTATTCAATTTATTAACAAAATTTATGTGTTTAATATGCCATTTTGATATGCATATCTGCTAGATACCTAATGTAGTTATATATCATGTCAAATGTTTACCAATAATCAAATGAAAAGTTGTATCTGGCTTACGCTACAGGCCTATTTCCTTTCCCTTAGTTGTGACTAGTTCAGGTTCTAAGTACTTCAATGGGGTGTTATTTCTTATTAGCCTTGGAAACAAAAAGCATAGCTATAACTACAGTGCATACTATCTACCAGAAGTTGGGGCACGTGTGGAGCCTTAAATGGACAGCCCCCATCATTGAAACTAACCAGCCCTTAGGGCATAAAGGGATGGACGGACTGGTTCTCTTCAGAATCGTTATTTATGATGACATGCTAATAGGCATTGTTAACATACCAACTTTTGCCTTGTATGTAATAGGTACGCAACACTTTTTAAATAAATGAATAAATGAATGTGTGTTTGTTCTTTGTCCAAATGGGTCAAAGGACCTTCTAGTTGTGATGTTTTCTTTTACATTCAGTGATTCACTTGGAAGAGCTCCCTCCATAGAAATATTGGATGATTGCTTTGACTTGAATAATGAAATATTTCCATGATCGTACATTCATTGCAAGCATATATTTTTAATATAAAACAATAAAGAAAACTAGTTAGTTATCAGACTCCAAATAAAAACGAAGTTATACTCATTACTGTTAACATGGTTTACAGAAAAGAAAGGTAGGTTACAAGATATTCTGTGTTGTAGTAAGAAAGAAATGAAAAATATTTTTCAGATTATTCCTTTTGCAGAAAAAAAATGTTCAATACTCTCATAGATACCCAGAATAAATAATGAAAACATAAACATTTGAATTTTATGAGGGAGTCAAATTTCCATATAAACATTTTTTATGTCTATTTAAAAAATCAGTTTAAATAGTGATTTTAAGACCTTGGTTATTTCATTAGGGCTGCAATTTGTCTTGAGTTTGATGGCTGTAGAAAAATAGACAAAATCTGTGCTTTGCTCCATATTTTTCCTCTGAAAAGAGTGTAGCACTGTAAGGATGCTTATTCGCTGGCCTGTTTTTCGGGCATCTTAACATAGATAGGGCTATTTCTTCCTGGCTTTGCAGTTCCTTTTCCTTTCCTGTTCCATGCCAGTGTATTGTCTCTGATGGGCAGGGTGGAGTGTGTCTGTTAGCTCTATGGGCACCCTGCTCTGTGAGTGGCAGTAATAAGTATTTGACCTTCCCTCAGCTGGTGTTCTTAAGGTCAATATGAGGGTGAATTATCCCTGTTGAAGTGGACAAAACAATCCAACTCATTCTCTTATGTTTTCTTCTTCTTAGGCCTCTTTGAAAACAGTTTAGATGAAAGGAATACTTTAAATGTATCAGAATTCTTTATATAATCGCTTTGATATCTTCTTACCAAAATGAAGCCAGTGTGTGGGAGGTGACAAAATCCAGTGAATGGGTTTGACTCTACAGCCCAACTGCCTGGGTCTGGATTGAAGCTCCTTCAGCGGCTACTGTGTCACCTTGGGGTTCGCGCAACTCCTCTGTGGCTCCTCAGTTTTCTGCCCGTAAGATGAGGAGAACAATAGCTTCCTGTCCACAGAACTGCTGTCAGAATGAAGGTCAGTGCTCCCGAAGTGCGTGAAGTCACGCAGGCGCTCCACTGCTGCTCCACGGGTCCTGCCTATTGCCTGTATTGGAGTCTGAACACGCTACTGTTTAGCTGAAGATCAGGCTCTCCTCAGGGTGCGAAATGAAAGCAGAGGGTTGTGAGGGAGGAAGAGGAGAAGTGGAGATCAAGAGAAAAGAGAGTTTGTGATGATAGAAAAAGCATCTCAGGTAGGACACTAGTGTGAAAATTAACAGATCAACTTTGTATTTCTGGTTATTCATACAATTTTGCGCAATTTGGAACAAGTAATATTTTACCCATAATGCTGTAGGAAAGGAAAGTGACCTAGAAGAGTGCTGGCAATGAGTCAGACTTTTAATTGATCAATTTATTTATTTATTTATTTATTTATTTATTTTGTACAGGATCTCACTACACAGCTCGGACTTGTAGTGATTCTCCTGTCCCACCTCCACCCCCCGTGCAGAAATGATAGGCGCACTTCACCATGCCTGGTTTCCACGGCCTGTATAGCACATCCAGGGGTCAGGGCTGGCAGGGCATGTGGTACCAGGACTGGAATCCAGGTCCTTGGGCTTGCCAGGCAGGCACTTAGACCATGGAGCTATCGCCCCAGCCCCGAAAGAGTCAAACTCTGATACAAGTTTTCATTTTAAATAATGCAGGGCCTAAAGAAGATTTGTGGAGTAAAATTTTATCAGTCAAGAGCTTCACGCACACACACACACACACACACACACACACACACACACCACACACACACACAGGAGACTAGAAAATAGCACACAGTGAGGGAAAAGAAGAGTGAAATGGAGAATTCTAAACAGCTTGGCAATCATTGCACCAGAAAGAGGGTACCATGCTCTGCCAGCCAGGTGAGCATATGAGTCTCAGGACAGAGAATGACCACAAATCTGGATTAGTCACCCACCCTGGATTAAGAACCACCTGGCTGTGCACGCTCCTGGGTTACAGAGGTGTGACCCTGGTTACCACATGTGTTTCCCGTTGCTTCCTTTCTGGCGCTGCTCCCCGCTTTGCATCCTGGCCTCATGAACGACGCATCTTCGCTTCTCTGCGTACCTCTTCTCTGCTGAACTGGCTTCAGCCAGCAAAGGATGGAGGGAATTTACAGCAAAGGTAAGCCAGGTGAAATCTATCTTCCTTGAGTTGTGGGTATCATTGAGTTGTTGCAGTCAGGGCTTACAAGGGAAGAGCTTTAATACAGCGCACATAATTTATAGGCTTGTTTTATAATATCCACCCAAATAGTCAAATGCAGAAGAGTACCAAAGACCTGTCCACACACTAGAGACCCAAAGAATCCAGCTGAGGGCCTGAGTCCCCATACCATGTCCTGCATGAGTCCTACGGAAGTCCTGGAGCCCATGGCACTGTCCTCCATGAATCCAGCTGGAGGCCGAGAGCCCACAGCTATGTCTCATGCAAGTGTGTATCAAGGATCTACAACGGGAAGGCACAGGGTCACGGCGGAAGCTAGAAAGTCTGCGCCAGCAGAATG